ATCAATTTTAAATTTGAATCGTGAAACATACATTGAATATGAATTTATGAAAAGTCTAGATATTGTTTTCAACATTCATAACTGGAACGCGATATATTTTTGTAATTCATCAATTCATCAACTATCTCAATGAAGACGAGAGAGGCAGATAAACAACAATTTTCTCTGCAATGAAGAACACTGTATATACCTAACCCACCATATGCGTCTACCTCCTTTGCAGAGAGGGTTTATGAACGCCGAGTTGATACTCTCCCCTCGTGAGGGTACCTGTCGTGTTTCCATAGAGACATAAAGGTGAATATCTGTCTTATCTGTTTTCTTGAGAATCTGGAAAGGATATCAATATATCGCCTTCCGTACGAATTTAATGATCTGAATTCTGTGAAGTATACTGTGGTCACGTCTCTTTGCGGATCATCTGTTCGGTTCGTCATGACTGGATGGTTTTATCCGATTGAGTGGCAAGTATCAAACACTGCTTTTCGGATCTGCAAATGAACATCACATATTAATCGAAGTACATTTGAATCAGAAAATTAATATCATCAGATGAAGTACATGGATGTTGAATCTGAGACATTCCTGAATAATATTTTCAACGTTTGTAACTGGATTGCTACATGTACGCTTTCTTTTCGAATAGTATTTTTTCCAGTAGACATCTTCCACATTTTCAATTACGTACGTGCGTCATATTCAGGACCTTGGAGGCCAAACGATGAGCTGCTCGGATCTAAAACTATGTATCAATTTCAAATTTGAATCGTGAGACCTACATAGAATATTGGATATTGTTTTCAACAATCGTAACTGGAACGAGATATATTTTTGTAACTCATCAATTCATCAACTATCTCAATGAAGACGAGACAGGCAGATAAACAACAATTTTCTCTGCAATGAAGAACACTGTATATACCTAACCCACTTTGCGTCTACCTCCTTTGCAGAGAGGGTTTATAAACGCCGAGTTGATACTCTCCCCTCGTAAGGGTACCTGTCGTGTTTCCATAGAGACATAAAGGTAAATATCTGTCTTATCTGTTTTCTTGAGAATCTGATGATAATGAGGATATCAATATATCGCTTTCCGTACGAATATAGGGATCTGAATTCTATAAAGTATACTCTGACCATTTTTCTTTGCGGATTTGTTCGATTCGTCGTGACTGGATGGTTTTCTCCGATTCAGTGACAAGTATCAACACTTTGCTTCTCAGATCTGCGAATAAACATGACATCAAATATCGAAGTCCATAAAAATTAATACTGATTTTCATGAGAGGTGGAACATGAATGATGAATCTGAAACATACCTGAATGATATTTCCAACATTCGTAACTGGAACGCGATATATTTTTGTAATTCATCAATTCATCAACTATCTCAATGAAGACGAGGCAGGCAGATAAACAACACCTTTCTCTGCAATGATACTGCAATACTGCAAAAATAATCTTTCATTCTCACTCATGAAGCAACGTTGTCAAGTCAACAAATATAATCAATTCATCATAATTATTAGAGTCCTGTCGTTGGATAAAACACGAGATGAAACATAATAAGAGTAAGACATGATATTATAGATCATTCTTGACTTTTTCGAGCAACCAGCATGTCTGTATATCTCTTGTACCCTATAACAAAATATCATAATGATCTTGAGGACATGGTAACAATGTGCTGAATGATGAGAACTGACAAGGCACCGCCCACAATTCGTGCGCCGGGTTGTCACGTTCAACCTTAAATATTCTTTAGTGTGAATTAATATAATAATATTGATACTATCACAAATGTATTATGAACAATAAACCACAACAGATGAGTGAATATTTTGAGACAATTGATTTTTATGTCTGATCAGGAATATAACCAATACAAAATTGAGAATTTATGTATTATTGAATAACTAATATTTACTAAGTTTTTACTTGCGGTAAATTTTTAGCCGTTTGAAAATTACCGTGGCATTATTGTTGATCTCAGGACCTCAAAACCGAATGGAAGTTATTTGAGTGATGATTCTATGTAACAAATAAAAAATATTAGTCAACCAGCCTATTTAATTTTTGTGGAAGGTTCCATGGCTGTTAGCAAGCAGTGTATATCACTGAAGATGTCTCCACTTGGTCATAGTGGGTACTTTCAGTATATATCTACCGTTCCTGCAAATTTCAGAATCCTAACTAAACAAATACGAAAGATACAGGGATGCTTCCAGTAAAAGTGAGACACACTGTGCAATGTTCATCTTGAGTCAATTCTGATCTCCATATCTTTTCACATGAAGTGTCATCTTCAAAATGAGCCTTGAGATTTTAAAAATCGGTTGGGAAGGAAAAAAGTTATGACTGCAAATTTTTCGATATCACTGTAAGTGAAAGGGATAATGAGACAATTCGAAAAATGCCAAAGTTGAGAAAACAAGTTTTCGTTCATTTGGAATCCTTTTGAAAATTCAAAAATTTTTCACAGTTTCAGGTGACACCCTGTAGCGAGTTTATATGAAGAAACTCATGTTTTAAAGAAGTACGAGCGCGAACAGTCTGAACCAAATCCAAATTGTTCAAAGCAGAAATAAAGTGAGTGATATTTTAACGGGGGTTAAAATTTTATGACTAATCATACCTTATCCAGGAATGCGGGCTAGATATAAATATAATACCATACCATAGGAAATTATACAGACAAATTTCCAATCTGAGTATATCGATACTAATAAAAGAGTTTGACAATTCGTGTGTGACCATTTCAAAGGAATTTTGACGACTTCCAAAAATTTCTCAGTGAAAAGTGGCAGTTGCGGTACCTAGCCTAGCACAGTCAGCGATACGAATTGATACATCTTTTTCGGGTTTGTTCTAATCGCATACATTTCTCACAAAAAATACGTATATGTATATGAAAATGAATCAAAGGATTACCTACTCTAAGATTTCTAGATGTATCGAGTGGTATCGGCACAAAATACCTATCAGATTATACTATCACTCATAATACAAAAAGAATTTAAAAAAATCACCAGCGTGAAAAAGGTAAGAAAGGATTTCTGCAATTCCATTGTTTGAAATTTTCGATTAATAATTCCTTTCGCGTATTTTTCAATGTCGATCACAAAATTCGACCGTATGTGATGACATCTAATATAAGACTGTCTTGATGTGGTCTTGATTTACCACCTGGTCCCGAATGAATGACTTATAAGTTGAGTCATGCTGGTAACCGATTAATTTCCGAACAAAAAATTATTTATCTATGACTAATGATGATAATAAAATTGAACAGGGGGGCGGGGAGATATTTTGTATACAGGTTCTATTTCTTCTTCTAAAATCACTAACGATATGAAAGAATTTTACATAGGCTGAAAATATAGTTTTTCCAAAAATGTCGTGATCATGGAAGAACTCAACATACAATATGTATAGTAAAGAGATCGAACCCTTTCCATTACAAAGAAATAATTTACCACAGAGTCATACAGGCGAGCATACAGGCAGTGACTAATTTGACTGAATGAATTCTGATTTCAAGCTGAGCAGTAGTATTATAACTATGAGCTGAATGAGCTGGGCCTTATGATTGAGAAATGGTGAAAACCTCGATGTGGGTATCTGAACAACTGCACTCATGTCATGTGTGCTAAATATATATTTTCGGAAATCCAACTCGGAGAAAAATTCATGGAGTGACTAACTCTAGGACGAAAAGTAGGCTTATAAAAAGTAATACGTGAAATTGCAGGAAAATGAAGAATAGAATATACTTTACCCCCGTGTTATACATATGGTTTTTCCGTCTCCCTTAATTAAAGAGTCATTTCCAAATAATTTATTGATGAAAGCATTGTCGATCTAAATGGAAACCTAGTTAGGTAGTTAGTAGGCGAGAGCAGTACCTCCTCGCGTACTATGTCGCCTACTAGGTTTTCATTTAGATCGACAATGGATGAAAGTAATAACAAAGAAGTACGAATACAGTAAAACTTATGGGCACGTTATCTTCACTTTTATTGCATCCTCTACATATTTTCAATTTGTGGTAGAGTAATAATTATATAAACTAATATTAAAAGTGCAGTTTTGAGCAGTGGTTATTTGAATAGGTACCACTAATAGTGAGATCTGATGGAGCCAAAATGCAGTTTTCGTGATATTTTCATGAAAAACTTCAGTAACCCACAATTTGGTTCGAAATATTTTGCTATTTGGTGAGAGATTTTGCTGCACATACCCTTTAGCGATATTCGTATAGACTTCCAAGCTAGAATGCCTCCTCCAGAATTTGCAAGTAAACTTGCCGAGGTTCTTCTGAGACTATGCCCGGTATAATTAATGACATCAGGCAGTTTAAAAAAGCAATTCAATTCTTCCAACCATGCATTTGGTAAATACATTTTCCTGCTCTATAGCAGACAAATAAACGTGTCTGGTATATTTACTATAAAATACCATATGACGTCAATTTCACTTTTTCTCCCAAGGGAGGAAAAGTACGACGTTGCTCCCTACATTGAGGCAAGGAAATGTTGACTTTGGATAGAGGGTAGGCGGAAATAGTTTTTTCCGCACTAGTGCATCTCAAAATTTGTGGGGTGATATTAAGCACAATGAAAAAGTATACGTGATTTTTTATCATTTTTACTTCGCATATTGTGCTCAATTTTCCGATTTTCCCGTTCGGTCTCTGTCTAACACAAGCACATTTTGCCAATTCCATCAAGGGACCCTAGGAAGAACTTTTCTGGTGGCGCCATCTTAAACTGAAACTGAGAGACATGAGCGAAAACCATGGAAACCATAAATGACAAAATAGATTTCTGTATTTACTCAACCAAGTTGACGTTGACATTGATGACAGTGAAAAGGTTGACAAGTGGTTTTCAATTCTTGTTGTTCTTCTTCGTCTTCTTCTCTTCTGCTTCTTCTATTTTTATCTTCTCTTGGCTCTTGATTCTTGTATCTAATAAATTTTGATGGGATTTTTGATTATATTCATTTTCGAACAGACATGGCTGCTGTAGTTAATACGGGCTCCAAATTCTTGAGTAAGTTCGTTAATTCCCTTCAACAGTCTAGAAGAGGCCTTCTTACTGGAAACTTTTTCATGACAACTACACCTTGAAGTCCTGGAAAATATTTCTTATTATATAACATAACCTATCTGGATCTTTCAGAGCCCCAATCTGGAGTCATTGGGATCGCCTACGTCCGTACAAATAATTACAGCACAGATGACAGAGTGTACAACTTGGCAAGTTTGAAAAGGGGCACCGGGGGGAGATCTAGTTTCAATGGCATAGTTGCCACAGTATTTGGAGCCACTGGTTTTATGGGCAGATATGTTTGCAACAGGCTGGGAAAAATTGGATCACAGGTATCAAATCCCTAGTTTCTACAATATTGTCATTATTTCAATGAATGTTCTAGCTGATTTTACCATACAGAGGTGATAATTATGAACCATTCAGGCTCAAACTGGTTGGAGACTTGGGCCAAGTATATTTCCATCCCTATCACTTGAGAGATGAAGAGTCAATCATGAAGTGTATCAAGTATTCCAATGTAGTTGTGAATTTGGTGGGACGGGACTGGGAGACCAAGAACTTCAAGTTTGATGATGTTCATGTTGAAGGTGCTAGGAGATTAGCTAGGCTTGCCAAAAAAGCTGGTGTGGAAAGGTTTATACATTTGTCTGCCTTGAATGCTTCTGAGGCTCCTGAGGAGGTGACCAAAATTTGACTATACTCACATCCATAGCTAGTGCTATTTATTTTCCAGGCTGGAATTCTCAAGGGTGGTTCTAAATATCTGGCAAGTAAAGCAAGGGGTGAACTGGCTGTTTTGGAAGAATTTCCTGAGGCTACCATATTCAGGCCATCAGATGTGTATGGTCAAGAAGATAGATTTGTTAGGTACAATCACAACTCAGTTCACAACTCTTCATCAAAACTATTTGATTTCCACTATTACATTTGTCATATTCAAAGAATATTTCCCACATAATTTGTTGTTTTTTTAGGTATTATGCCCATGCTTGGAGAAGACAAGGTCAGTATTTCCCATTGTGGCATAAGGGTGAGAGAACTGTTAAACAACCAGTAGCAGTATCTGATGTGGCTACTGGTATTATTAATGCAATCAAAGATCCTGATACTGCTGGTCAGATATATCAAGCTGTTGGGTGAGTCAATAATTTTTTCAGTGTTCTACTACTAGCAGATTTAATATAGGTTTTACCTGTATGCTTTACTAGAACTCCATTTAAAAAAATGTATGCCTCTCAATTTATGATTATTTGAATAGTTATATTTTTATCAATATGTTTACTGAACTAAAGTAGGTATAATGCATGTTTTAGAAAATTCCCATGATTTTGGAATCCCTTACATGAAAAATTAGTAGGGCCCTGAAGTTGCTATTCTGATATTAGAATGGAGTCAAGAGACATTTCAAAAGGCAAATTTTTATTTTTGACTCATAAATTAAAGTGAGTGCTCCTGAACCCTTTTTAAATGATTTATCAATGTTCAAAGATTTCAAAACCAAGAATATACCCTCATTTTGTTTAAAAATAAAACCCTCAAGTGAGATCTCCATCTTGTTGACTGATATACAGGGTCTGATCAGATATTAAATCATGATAAATGAAAGTTCAACATTTTTTGGGGAATACCATTTCTTTTTGATGGAAATATTCAGATTTTTTTTTTGTCATTTGAAGAAATTCATTCTATATGAATCACCTTATCACCTTGCAAATTTGAAATCCTTCGTTCTGTCCTTCATAAACAGAACTATCAACATCAGTGACTTTGTTTCAAATTTGGACTTTGGATTCTTTATTCAATTTTTCTTGTAGGAACTTTGCAGAACAATGTATAAGCATCATTCAGTTCCAATTTGGTGGTCACAAGATATATCTGAAATTTTTTTCATTCATCTTACTCTTCAATACAGATCCAATCAAGGATACAACAGTCACATTTTTTCAATGCTATGTCACAGTCAAATCTGCAGTTGAATGATTTGCTTTGATAGCCAGATTTGGCAGCCCACTCCAGTGAGATCACATCAGCTGTTTGTGATATTAGGTTAGAAATCTGTCAAGAACTTTCTCTCCCATGTTTGCAGTTGTTTTTATCATGCATTTGTATGTTAGTATGTTTCTTGTTTGTATGTAACTAGGAATCTTCCAATGTGATTTGGACCCACTTCAGATTAGATTGAAACTTCTCTTATGGTCTTATGGAGGGCAGATGACAAATTCAATAGTTTTATTTCATTATCCCAGTCAGGATCTTCGAGATGGTGTCGATGGTGATATTTTTTTTCTCAAATGTCTGTATTGTCTTGCGCCTAGTATGCATATGAAATGAAGTTTCCCGAAAGAGGAATGGTTTTGAATTCATCTGACCAAATTATGTTTGCCACTGGTGAAGAAAGATTGAATGGTGGTCTGCTTGAAATTACTGGAAAAATACTGAAATTCACCGCCAGATCACCTTCTTTACCGCTCGCTGTACTCCTTTGCCGCCCTAAGGCGCTAAAGTGCTACTTCATGCCTGCGAATATGAGCGATAAAGTGCCACTTTACGCCCGGTCCTGAATAATAGTTATATATGTAACAAGTGCGAAAAGTGGTACTTTTTTTTTCTAGTAGGAAATGTTGACGCTCGACGCCGAATGCAGAGTACATCAATTACTATGAGTAATAAACCCGTCAAGCACGTGTTACAAACAATAGTTTTCCTACAACTGTCAAAAATGAGGACAACCTCATTTGACTCAGATACAAATGATTAAATGATATTCTGTAATAATTATCAAGTATATTTACTCATTTCATGTCACTTTATTGATAACATCTGGTTTTTACGGACAGAATAGCCAGAGCCACCTTCGGCTAATTCCAGTAAATCGTTAATCCCCCTTGCGTTAAAATCATACATGAGATGGGAGCATATTATTATCTAATAGGCGAGGATACCGTGGCGCCTTCTTCCCGCTCTCATCTCTATTTCACTGGCACTCCATATGAAATACAAAGTCATCCGCCTTGATTTGTTCGCTTGCTGCCTTGCTGAATCCCGTAAAGGAGCCCATAGACTGCGTTGTTGGTGGGCTGTTTTGTTCGTCAAACAATTATGTTCCAACAAAAATGACGCAAAACTGAAGTGTGTGGTGTATGGCTAGCCCAGTGCATGGGCCCTTTTCATGCAAGCATTCATTCCATCGCCTAGCAACGGCCGTGAACAGAAGTGTACTTTTTTCACACTTTTCCGTAAAATGATGAAACAGTATTTTGATATCAACAAATTGTACACTATGGGCACACAAAATATACTAAAAAAGTGACAGTTGTAAGAAAATTATATTATTCAGGGTGTATCTAAATAGCACCGAAAAAATTCAAGTGGTGATTCCTTGTGATATTTTAGGAAATAAAGTTAATATAAACTTGCTTTTCGAGGTACAGGGTATTAATATGAAATGAAAAATCGTTTTTTATTCATTACTCGATTGTCTTTTCATCAATTTCAATAAAACGTTGCGGTTTTGCGAGGGGTAAATCTCCAGGAGAAATGTGCACACCAGACTTCCAATGAACAAAGACTTCCAATGACTCTCAAAGACTTCCAAGAATTCCAAAGACATCCAAAGACATCCAAAGACTTCCAAAGACTTCCAAAGACATCCAAAGACATCCAAAGATATCCAAATACTTCCAAAGATTTCCAAAGACTTTCAAAGACTTCCAAAGACTACCAACGGAGTGTACACCAGACTTCCAAGGAGATTTACCCCTCGCGGTTTTGTTAATATTAATATGAAACTTCTTCTGGTGCAATTAGATTCGAAATTATATTTCCAGTGGGTAAATTTATCGATATTTGGTGAATGTCATTGTACGCCATCGGTTTTTTTGAATTTCATATTTTTATCAGATGGCACTGTAGAAATAACAACTTTTTTATTTTTTACGTAATTTTTGTATCTAGCTCAATTTTTGAGCAAACAGTAAAAATTCGATTCGACTCCAAATTTTAATGTAGACTGTTTTCAAGACTTCCATTGAGATTACTCAATAACCCCAATTAGAATAATTTTGATATTTTGGGGCTTTCCCAGTCTCCAACCATACTTAAACAATCAAATATTTCTTGAATTCATTTAAAATGTTGCTGAATTCCCTTCCGAAACCCGCGTAGTGAAGAAACATTGTTTGTATCATTATGTAAAGTTTGCCTTCTCCAAGTTAAAAAAAGAGATTTGGATTGTGGAAATGACGACAATAAAAGTGGTCCTAATTTTACAAAATTGTCCCTTATTCTTGCAATCCAAATCTCCATTGTATTGTAGACGTTGTTTTAAAGGCAGGCATTGCTCTTGGGACTTATGTAGAACCTCGAATGTCATGTGGCAAGCGATATTCCCACAATCAAATCAAATAAATAAGTAGTCCTGCGATAGTGATAAACATAAGGAAATTACTCATAACTTGAAAACGCCGCAACCAGTTTGGATTTTTTTTAGTGATGAAAAGACGAATAATGTCGAAATAAATCTGTGATGAAATATACAGGGTGTTATATTTGTAAAATTCTAATGAACGTCCTCTGACTCTAACAATATTCAAAATTTAAATTTTAGCACCCTGTTTAGGATCATCTCGCAAAATTACTGGATTGGTGTACGTGAGACCTTGCTACTACTGTATGTATGTAACATGACCCTTCAATAGTAGTAAAAATGGATTTATCAATTATAACTTGGCAACGCCGCAACCAATTCAATTTTTTTACAGTGATGTAGAGCTGAGCCTTGGCTGAGTGAATTTCGAATAAAAAATACTGGGTGTTCTATTTAAAAAAACTCGTCTCAGAGTCGTCCTGCTTTTATGAAACACTCAGTATTGCTGAAAATATTTTTGAATTGGGAACCTTTGATAACGGGAGAAATTTGTTTTCACAAGTTTTTCTTCTCTAGTGATGATGGATTTCGAGATATCGAAGAATTACGCACTAAATGGACACACTGTGTATTCGCAAACCCACATCACCGATTTCTTTCAGGCCCAAGCGCTATCTCTTGTCCGAACTGGTCGACTACTTCTACCGTATCATGCGCAAAGATGACGAATGGGGCTACACGCGCTACGACATGCGTTGGGACCCGCTCTTCCAGCTCAGGGTCACCCTCACCGAGAAGCTATCGGTGAACTGGCCCATCGGCAATCTCCACTGGGAGAAGATCGAGCGGGAACACTTGACAGGTTGGATTTTTTTCAACAGTAAAAGTACAAGAGCTTATTTCTATCAGATACATTTCTCTTCCTGAAGATAACATTTGCCAATCAGTAGTTTTACGAAAAAAACTGACATAAAAATTGGCGAGATTGTAGGTCAAGCACTTTTGTCTAATGTCAGTTTGAGAGAAATTACTGATGAAAAATTTTTCGAGTTAAGGTGTATCCACAATAGGCAGTCGGTAGTTGGTAATCGGCAGTTGGTAGTGGAAGATGAGCTATCGACATTTACATGCAACCGTGTCCAATTGCCGTCGGTAGTTAGCTGTCGGTCGTTTGTAGTCGGCAGTCGTGAAATCGATCTCTGACTGCAACTACAACAACCAACTGCACAAATATGACCAATCAGAGAGCATTTAGTGGCGTCAAGAACGAGATAATATAACAGTGTTGAGTTAAGTAAGGAAATGTATCAAAATAAACAAAAGTTCAGGTGATTCTTGGCAAGATAAATCAACTACAATATACAAATACCTAGATAACATTAATAATTACCTTTATTGATGATTTCATGTTTCTTGTAGTATGCGGAGTTGTTTTTTTCTTTATTTTTTGTTGTTTCTTTCAGACGATATTTTCCTAAAACGGCTCATCTTGCTAATTTATGCATAAACAATACCCAACAATCAAACCAGACAGGACAGAAATTGGAGTGACATCAGGCGCATACCTACTAGATGAAGTGTGGTTTTGAGCATTGTCTGCTAAATATTGATAAAAAATTTAGTGGATACTACAGCTACTACTCTCCATATTTAGCAGACAATGGTTTTGAGGCACAGGCAGTTTCACAGGGATAAATCAACTCCTACACGGAAAACGCTATATGACGACGTGAGTCATTTTGACATCGATGATAAACTGCCTGCTCCTTTGATCTAGTAGCTATTTGCGCGTGATGTCATTCCAATTGCTGTCGTGTCAAGTTTGACACGACAGCAATTTTTTTCCCGGCATTGAAAAATAACTACCTATTAGTTATCTTTATCGTTATCATTATTAGATGATGTCAAACCCGACATACCGACGCTCGAAGATTTGGGCGTCAATTTGACAACGGTGGAGCAGCAGATGCCATGGGAGTTCAAACCCTGGACTTTCGGGATATACAGGGGACAGGATCCGGACGAACCTCAAGCGCCTGCCTCTCATCCCAAAGTTTTCGCGTGAAAACAAATGTTGTTTGAGGAGACGATTGATAGTCGCAAGTTTCAATTTTTTTGGTGATGCAGGTTTACAAATATTCTGCTTTGAAGGGTATATATAAACCTTTAAAATTCAAGTTTGTTAAATATCTACTGTCATGTGAATGAAAATTGTCCAACATTTACATATTATTTATTTATGTTGTCAATAATAAATAAAATACGGAACCCAACTGTCTATTCAATTTCCTCATTGTACAGTAATATTGGGGGTTTTCAACAATGATGGAGTGCCATGTGACTGTTTTTGATACGGCGTCACTTTTTCATCTATTCAGAAGTTAGGAATTTATTTTCGGTGGCATACAAATTTGTTTCCTGGCACTCGAATCACTGTTGATGACCCTGTATGTACCTAAAAGTACACTAAGAATGCACTGATCGATTGAGGTTAACGAAAATAATCATTGTGGTCTGAAAATACGACTTATGTGTGTTCAAATTCCGAGTTCAAGTCTAAATTCTGACTTGTATCAGTTGTATCTCACTTCGCACACTTGTCAGGAGTGAGAAACCCTGGAGTTGTTATATCAAACAGCTAGCTTTGAGAGAGAAACCATGTCGTCCCCAACTATCCTTGTCTTCAGTGTTCCAACTTGAAATAATTAAAATTTCATGTTGGCAAAACTGGAGATGAGAATAAATGGAGAAGATTATATTAACCTCAATATAAAGGAGGTTAAAATGATCTTCTCCATATCTCATTTCCAGTGTTGTCACAATGAAATTTTCATTATTCCACATTGGACACTGAAGACAAGGACAGAATGGGAAGACATCCATAGAGTGGAGACATATTTTTTCTCTCTCAATGCTAGCCCAACTGCTCTATTCTGGCATATGCCAGTATTCTGACAAGATACCTGTATTTTAACATGAGTGTCAGGATTTTGACTTGTAGTCTCAAGATTTAAAATAGCTATAAAATAAAATTATTCAAAATATACATAATTAATATTGATTTCTTAGCTGTCAATAATGAATAAAGGTAAAATACTGAACACTGATGATCTTTGAATTTTATCACAATAATAAATACAATATATTCTACACCAGAGGGAAAGTTGTGTCTGCAGTGCTACCAACGTAACCATGACAAAATGTCATTTCATCTTTGTCCACCATCTAGTCTGTGTCACTGAACTATTTTCCATATCATATTGTGATAAATCATTTCAAATGGTCTCACATGGTCAAATTTCAGAATTATCAGTCCTCTCAAAAGATGTAATTTAATTAATTAACCAAAATTTACAGTGTGTATATATTTTTCAATAGTTTTTTGAGCGTGTTCAATGTTTTTCACTATAAGCCCCTTTAAGAATCATAAAATCTTCTTTTACAGTTCAGATCTACTGATGACAACTTTTTGTTGCAAAAATTTAAAACTTTCCCTGCAAAAATTGTAGGGAAATCAACAACCATTGTCTATGCATGAAGAGATGATAGATAAAAGTGACTAGGAGACTCGGTTAGGCCTTCGTGGGCTAATCGGAAAATAATAGAAAAAACAGTTACTCTGGTCTGTTCTTTCAGTTCAGAGCTAGAATTCCTGTCTATTTCGAATTTCCCTTGAAATTACTGGGGTAGGTACACAAATAATAATAAAATTAGAAACATAAATCACTATTGATCAAACCAGATTTTTTTCTCTAGTTTGCAAATAATGGTCTGGCCTATTGATCCATTTCAAATCATCAACAGCAGCGTTTCTGATACAATTAATATTAAGTACATTATTCATGCACCATATGGTCATTATTGTGGATATTAACACATATAAAAATATTTTGGTTAAATAGACACCAAGATTGGATATTTGATAAGAAGTGCTCACAGAATAAATAAGATTAAAAATTTCAGAGCATTAAACGAATTTTTGGAACAAAAATATTCAGACGATATTATTATATGTGAAAGATAAAATCATATGCGAAAAGTATACTTTTCTCATCTGCAGTGTGCATGATTTGACATTGAATGAAGATATCAGTATTTTTTTGTTTTTGCGAATTACGTTTCACCTTCTTCCTTTGTGAATCAAAATTCATATATGGGTAAATTTGTCCTATTCCATCAACTAATAATAATGCATAATATATGGACGACTATTATGACGAAAAGAACATCGGTTTGGTATTTGATCACTCAATTCTTCATTCTGATGTTGAATCACTTGACATAAACATTTTTTTTTTTTTTCAAAAATAATATTATCAATGATTTATGTGAAGCAATTTACTTCCAAATCCATTTCACTTCAAAACTGTGCATTTGATTAACCAAGAGTACCCTTTTTACAGAATACTATTTCACAATTTTCAATTTTTGTGATCTTACAAAAAAGTGGGAAAGACTCGTCAAAAGGGCGTAGTTTCCTTAGGAGCCATATTCCTTCCAATGTTTACTAGAACTCCCAAGCAAATTATATTAAATCCTGTAGACACTCCAGAGAGAATTCTAAATGGAAAAATGTTATGATTAGAAATATCGGGCTCTTGCCTCTTGAAATATGAAAATCAAATCTTTCATAGTTCTTAGATGATTGCATACCAAATTCCATCCATTTCATCAAAAAATAACGAAAAAACGATGAAATATTGTTTCCCAGTAAATCAGAACTCCACAAAACTTGAGATGGGATGGAATATCTTCATTCTTGATACAGTATAGGTATCATTTAGGCCGCATCCTTTAAAGACCATCAACTATCACAAAATATTACATAAATTTTTTTTCATGTGTGATACCACAAGTTATACTATTTTGCAGATTGTTATGACAGCTTGTTGCCTAATAATTTCGCGAATGACATTGTTTATTAAAACTTTCGAGCCGTAGGCGAGAGGTTTTGGAACAATGTCAGGAGCGAAATTAAAGCATAATTAAAGGATGATTCTAGGAGAAATAGTATTCCTATGATTATTTCATGATTGAGAAAATAAATGAGAGCCTCGCGAGAGTTGCGTACACTGCATCCATAACATTCTGGCATCCAAGATGTTTGACGTTTTAAATGTCAAACATTTTATCGCTGAATAACGAGGTTGGTTGATCACGTGTGGGTCAGTTAGGCTTCTGTGTTGGTAGAGCAAGTCCGATAGAATTAAGTGAACAAAAAAGATCGCTGCAATACAGAAGAAACCGTGAAAATGGTCGATTCTGATTGGTTCTCAAGAACAAGAGTGGAATAGTCATTGAAAATCACCTCTGTGAGCACTCAATCCTAACACATTCATTCAAAATGAAGACTTTTTTCCGGCGACTTTCAATCGCTATCTTCGTCGACGTTTCGAACCTGTTGTGCCGGCAGAGCTTCTCTGAGCTGCAAAATGTGGTCTATGGGCTTGGGTTTTCCATCGGCACCGACGGTGCAAGGTTTTATCGTACCGCATTTCATCAAGCTATCCATGAGCTCCACTAGTTTCATCGCCTCATACTCTTTCTGAAATAGAATGAGAAAATAATAAGATTTTTTCTACTAGCGTGCGGAAAAGTCGATTATTTCGCACTCATTTTAGTGTTGTTAAGTTTTTGAAGAGTATACTAACATTTGAATACCTATTTAATAACAATAATAAATATTTTTTTATGATAACTTTCGGTTTTTTGCTGCACGCAGAATAGTGTACAGGGTGTCCCAAATTGCTTCATTTTCCTATTTCCAGAACAGCTAGAGAAAAACTGACCAAAGAGTCTAGAGCTCGATTTTTGTGAATCGTCGATTGGGGAAAACCGCATTTCGATCTCTAACCGTTTCTGAGATCTAGACCAAAATTGACATTTGACCGATTTCAAAAATATGCCGTGACATTTTTATTTTTGGATATTTTTTCAAACGGAAAAAACTCTACAGGCACTTTTTAACGTAGAATGTGATTCACCTGCCGGAAAGTTTAAACCACTTACCAACTATCTGATATCAAAGTTAAGATATGTCTAGTCATCCATCCTTAGTGTCAATACAACAACAATACAACATTGGCTTTGATATCAGACGATACACTCCTCTCGTAAAGGTACCTGGTGTGATTCCATAAACAAGACGAAACACTCCTCTAGTGAAGTTACCTGGTGTGATTCCATAAACAAATTGATCAAAACTCTGACTTACTTGTTCTTCAGACATATTTTCCATGGCGCTAGGATGCGGCTCTTCATAACACCCTATGACCGGATTGATACCGTGCTTGTGATCGGCATACTCTTCGGTCTCGCTATTTTCACTCTCGGAGCTGAAGTCGTCTTCCCCCTTGATGTGCCCTCCCCCTAAGAGCCCTCTTTGAGCGAAAAGACCTGCCGCATTGCCGTAACCCGTGTATTTTATCATTCTTGATACTAAAATAAGGAATTTGCAGGAGTGAACAGCAGATAAACATTCGTAGATTGAATTTTGATTTCACAGCAAGTTCTGATGTATTGCAAGGAACGTCACCGTTCAGTTTCTTTCTGCTTGAATTTGCCAAAGGTTTTCAAGATTTTTTGGTGTATTTCCGGGGACTCAAATTTTCTTAATTCCTGGATGAGAATATCAAGAAATAACAAAGAATGCCAAGGAGTTTCAAGAGATTTCCATGATTCACAAAAAATTCAAACTTAAAATAGAGTATTCATGGTATTCATAGTAAGTGAATTTCAGAGTACACTGTTATACCAATTACCAAGCCAATTTTTTAATGCCTCAACAGAATAACAAAAAAATTCACAAATTATGTAGTTTTTTCACATGCTTGAAATTTATCTAGTTTTTGGGACAGTTTTAATAGGTTCACAGAAACTCTCAATTTACCCAATTCTTTGGAAAAGAATATCAAAGAATATTGATCAAGGAATTTCAAGAAATTTTGGAGGTTCACAAGCTCACAAGCATTTCAATCATGAAATGAATCAGCCAAGGTTAGTAAATTTCAGATCAAGCTTGAATATACTAAGGAATCAAAGAATATTTCCAGGGGTAACAGCAGGCCAACATTTTAAGACATTTCCATTTTCCAATGAAAATTACAAAAAACTTCAAGTGATGAAGGAAAATATCAAAGAATGAAGAGGGATTTCGGAATTTCAGAATTCACATTACAAAGAATTTTGCGCTCAAAATAAATGAACCAGGATCATGTAACTTTAATATCAAGCTTGAATTTACCAAAGACTTCCAAGAAATTTGAAGTTTTGAAATATCAGAAATGACACAATAACATATGTCTTTAAAAATCATATCAGTACAATAATGAAAATTAAAAATCTAAAACAGTTAAACTGAAAACTGAATTTGTATAGTTAAGACAGCTATCTAATATATTCTTTTTCAACAAGTTTATATGGAGTTCTGAAAAAATACAAGTATATAAAATTCTAAATTCTGGGGATGGCAAGAAATTAGAATTAAAAACAACAATTTGCCAGGGTTAGTACATTACAGATCAAACTAGATATCAACAAAGATTTCAAAGAAATTCTAGTGTTTCCAATGAATTTCAATTGAATATTAGTTTGAATATACCATCATGGTTCACATCTTGCTTATACTCTGGAATATTGGGAAATCATGCAAGGAAATATCCCTAATAATCACACAAATTCATAATCTTGAACAAATGATTGCATCAAGCCTGAAACTCTTTTATGATATAAAGGTGAATTTGAATTATGAAATGAATCTTCATAAAAACCATCTCATTATTTGACTATAATCAACCAGGATATCAAAATTATAAATCCAAGATATAAAAACACCATGAAGAAACACATGCTCACCACTTTTCTTGCATAGAACAAACAATAGTTCAGCATCCAGATCTCTTAGTTCCATAATAGGTGTGGTTAACAATCTACACAAATGGTTCCTAAGAGTGCTACCCTCTTCAGGCCTAGTGTGTACATCTGTCAAAGGGGGCAGTATATGGTTCCTCAGAAACTTTCTTATCACCCTGTGACCTGAAGCACCTTTTAGAAGCACTGTGACAACAGGTGAAAGAATTTCATGCTGATTATTTATTTTCTAAAAGAAAGAATTTTGGTTCAACAGATTTGCCAAGAACTCCTAACAGAAAATGTTGAGCAAATAATTCATGCATGAAAATGCTGAGATTGCAATGCAAAAAATATTATTTTGAGGAACAAATTCCTACACAAATGCTTACCAGCTGGTCATTGAATTTGGCCTTCAAAAACATGAGAATTTCATAAATAGCAGTCATATTATAATCTTCAAACACCAAATTATTTGGCACCCTATGTCCTTCATGTACTGGCAAAAGGAGTGCCTTGTAAGTCTCATCAGGCATATTGGTGAGAAGATTGATAACATTGTTCCTCAAAGCCCAAGTTTTCTCCAAGTTGTTGGAGCAAATGAGGAGATAGCTTCTAAGCACTTCAACTAGGGAATAGCAGCTAACCAGTACCTCTGCATCAGACTCATCAGTGCCTACTGTTATGTTGAAAAGTGCTTTCAGAATTTCATTAACCAAATCAACCTGAGTGTCCTTTGAAAAAAATCAGATGGAGTAAATTAGAGACAGTTCAGATATTGATTATATACCATTAGATAAAGAGGGGGTAGATCCTCATGTTCAAAATGGTTGTCAGCAGCTTCACGCAGTTCTTCAACTAACAGATTCACCAATAAGTCAAACATGCTTTTCATATCACTTCTTGCATCTGAGCTAAGTGCAGTTATCAAGAAAAACAGTTTCATATCAAAAAATCTGACTTCATCTGGTATTTTTTCATTCCTAAAAAAGCATTGTCCCAAGATAGAGCTCAAGAATAATACCTACTACTACTTAATGATAAATGTTTCAGTGGTGGTTTTAACTTACTCATAATCTCTGATCCTTCTTTGTAAACCTGTCAGGATTCCATTGGTCCTGAAATCTTCAGCCAAACCTCTACTGTTAAACATGATATTGGATAGACTCTTTTGGACTTCTATGCAAATAGGTGTTTTTTGTTCACTGAACTCAAAATTTGGGTCACATAAACCTGAGTGTTTTTTTATCAAATCTCTCCATTCTTCATTGATTAGTTCAGCAAGACACTGTTTTTCCCGGCTGGCAAATAATTGAATTTTAAAGCACACAAAATTACCTTGAGACAATACTCATACCTCAACAATCTCATCACTACAAAGCAGTCTCTTATCACGCATGGATCTTGTGAATGTTTTGCAATATGTAAAAGAGCCTTCCAGAAATCTTTCCTTTTGGATCCCTGTAGTAATTCTGGAAAATTGTAGGATCCTGATGCCTAATGATAGAAATACATTATTTCCTATACCCAATTTTGCAAGCCAAGACAAGGGAATTGGAATTGCTTCTTTACCTTTTCAATGAAAGCTTTCAAGGTGGGGCCCCACACTTTGTCATCAGCAGTGCCTGCTGCTATAATAGTTTCAATTTCAGTATTCATCTTCACTTCAAATGTGAATGGGGATGCCGAACACAATGCAACAAATATTCTACAATTATTAATGTCAGTTGAATTGTGTTATTCAATTAACTATTTATAATCATTATTGTTATTGATTTCAGATTTGATTAATGTTGTTTCATGTTCACTTAGATAAGGATTTAGATTAATATGTGGCCTGTGGCCTTTACCTGTGACTGGCTGTGACGAAAAAAGTGAAGAAGTTAATCGTATCGTAAATGATTTAAGAATAAGAAGTAGAAAGCTGATGTCCAACTCTGGATGAGAGGCCGAAAAATAGACATAAATAAGAAGAAGTAGAATTTAACTATTATTAGAGGTTATGGTTCGGGTTTCAAGAATTTGTTAAATAAGAAAATCGAAATGTTTCAGAGTTCTTTGAAAATGTGTGTTCGCCTGTCGTCTACTTCCAGAGAAGGTTTGTTCGCCACTTCAGTGTTGAAATTACATTTCATTAAATATTCTTTCAGGCCTTCGACGAATCTCGTCCTCCATAAAACCTGTAGGAGCCCATTCTGTCAGATCCAAACCAGATAGCTTGAAGCAAGAGATTCTAGAATATCGTCATGTATATCCAGAATTCTTACCAGACCCTAAATTTGAGTTCAGAAATTCAGTAAGAGAAAAACTGGAACGGAATGACATGATTGCCAGGAGACAAAATATTGACATACCAGAGTTTTATGTGGGGTCTATAATGGCTGTAGAATCATCTGATCCTCACACCCCAGGAAAGACACACAGATTTGTAGGGATTTGTATACAGAGAGGTGGTTGTGGTTTGAGAGCACATTTTACTTTGAGAAATGTTATAGACCATCAGGTTTGTACATGATTTTTATATTGAGAATTGGGAAGTTTTCAATTTTTTTGTAGGGAGTGGAAGTTCAGTATGAAATGTATGATCCAACAATTCATAAAGTTGATGTTCTTAAGTTAGAAAAACGCCTTGATGATGAGCTGCTGTATCTCAGAGATGCTCTTCCAGAATATAGTACTTTTGATCCAAATATGGAGCCTGAAATTCTTTCAGAAGGTAATGATTTCAATATTCAAAGATAAAAGGTAGGTATTTATTTATTAATTTATCTATAGGAACTTCTGTACCAGTAAATACAATCAAAGTGAAACTCAAGCCCAAGCCTTGGCTGGAAAGATGGGAGAGAAAAAATCTACAGGGTGTGCAAGATCTAGAATTAGATGAGAAGTTTTACAAGAAGGCTGAAGAAGTGGCAACACCATGGGAAAAATATGACCTCATGAAAGAGTACATGTAAGAATTCTTCAGAGCAGGGATGTTTTTAAGACACTATACATATTTTCTTGTTTTCAGGAGAACAATTCCTGTAGAGGAACAAACAGAAATATATGGTGAATTGCAAACCAAACTACAAAAATTGAATGCCCAAGGGAAGAAAATGAAGAGAAAGAGAGTATTTGTGAAACCAACAAAACTTGCTTAGTTAATTGTAATTAAAAAAATTCCAGTATGGATATTATTGTGTTGTGTGTTTTTCTATCATAATTTCAACTTTCAGAACAAAAAGTTTGATACTTCATTTCTGAAAAAATATATTTAAAAATTACAACAAACATCTTTTTAATAATATACAAGAAAAAATAAATACATAATTGTGACAAAAAAAAGTTTTTGAACAATTTCAAATGTACAAAACAAAATACAAGGTTGGTATATTTTCAATTCTATAGGCAGTAGACTCACTGATATTTACAATATAATATGTAGCAATCAAGAACAGAATAATAATTTCTGGTGTCTTGGATACCAGAAGTAAGCTGAAAAAGAAAAGAAGAAATTATACATTTGGTGGCACAATATTGATATGAGTTATCAAAATGTCAATATCACCAATAGGACGATATTCATAATTTGAATACCTATTTATGTGTACAGTTGCTGAAAAAGTTCAGGTGATTTGAATCACAGATCTACTGTACAGGGTCATTCACCATAAATGTCCCCCCCACTAGCTCAGTTATTTTTGAACAGATTGCAAAATTTTAAATATCTATTTTTGATTTTGAGCATTTTTTTGTGTCGAAACTATTCATTATTGGTCAAAACGGCTTTGATAATAATGAAGTTTGGACACAAAAAAATGCTAATGTTGAAGAACCTCGATTTTGAACACTTTATATCCCTGAAACCATTACAGCTAGACCCCAAGTGTGATGCATTGATGAAAGCAGCTATTCGGGGAGAATCTAAAAATGCAATAAAATACAAGGTGTTCCATTTGAAATAACAAAGTTGTTGCTTCTTTTCGTTAGAAGCGGCAACGCTGCAGGGCTGAAAATATTTCAGAACGATGTCCCCCTCGAAAATGTAGTTGACGTGTTTCAGATATTTTTGAAAAGGCTTTTAGTTTAGGAAATATCGAGTTTGTTCCATACTTCACGGACACATAGTGTATATAATCTTTCAAATTATCATCACCCTATATAAGGCCAACCTTACATTGTATCAGATGCTATCATGTTGATGATCAAGACCCATAATGTGTCAAATAATGATTGTCCCCTATTCTAGCGATTTGTGTTCCAGTTTCCAGTGATTGAGAGAAAATCAAAATTCTGGTATTTTCAATATTTGATTATTTCCATGAATATTACCGCGTCATGAAGTAATGTAATACTCTGTAGTAGGTGAAAATATTGACTTCATATTCTAGGGTTGTCAAGTATTCCTCAGGAACTTCAAAAGGATGTATCAAAAGACCCCCGTTTCAATTTATTTATTTTTTCCCAGATTGCAGCACCCAGTCGTCATCTTGAAATTTTCATCTGTCAATTTCACTCCAAAACATAGTATTTATGCATCAATTCCACTACCCCAAGCATCAATTTTTTTCAGTTGACCCGTTCAAAAAATTAAAGGGGGGGGCATTGAAGAAAAGCACTGTGTATAATAAGTTTAATCTATTGGTAAATTTTTTGATGGATGATAATTAGGATGCCAAGATCTGAAACATCAAATCTTCATAAAAATTAACCAAAATCCATTTTCCGTACTAAATATACAGGGTCCTTTGGTCTGTGAATTAGCAGTGCAAACAAGAATTTTTCAAAATACTTTCTTGGAGTGTACTTGTCCATTCTAATTTTTTATTTTCACCACCCTGTATCTCGGAAACGGAGCAATTTCGGGCAGAGGCAATTTGCTTTAAATCAGCTTATTTTGACCTCAGGAATATATTGTAATGAGATTTTGTACAGACCTTTTCGGCAGCCGAATGCTTGAAGACACAAGGGTTGTTGCTGATGCGACACGCAAAACGAATACAATGTGGTGTCAGTTCCTGTTCAAATTCGAACAAACAAATTTTAGAACAAATTCTGGGACTAATTTATTGTCGTTCGGAGAAAAAAAGAAACAGGCGTATGTGGGTACAACTAGAGTCCCTGTATGTATTTGACACTTTTGCTAGAGTCCCTGTATGTATTTGACACTTTTGCTGTATTACAACAAAACTGACAAATATATACAGGGAATTATACATACAGGGACTCTAGGTACAACCAATTGTCGAGGAAAAAACTGAGAAAAGTTTGATTCATACTTTATCGTATCTAATGATGAGATCAAAAGAGATGACGAAAAACTCTTCTATTTTGTATACCAATGTCAAAAGATTCGTTTTATGAACTTGTGACTCTGATTAGGAATCAAATAACTGAGCAGGATACGGCAATGAGAAGAAGTATTTCACCAGAATATTGGTATTGCATGTTTGGAACAGATACTGAGACTTGGGGTTGGATTATATATTTATTAATGGATTGCATGATTGATGCGTTGGAACCGACCTCACAGCTGAGGCAAGAGTGACAAAAGGAATAACCCATCATCATCTTCTGAAAGATTTTCAATTTCTTTTTTTTTTCCAATCCAGCTGCGTTTCAGTCGAGTGCTAAAATTAATTTTGCGTCAGCTAATAGGATTCTTTTTTCTTCCAATTCGTGGAACCACTGTGACATTTTCCGTTTGTGTATTTTCACACGATGCCGATGTGGTATTTTGCAACGAATTGATATTTCACAATCAATGGTAGCCATCATGGATCAGTCAACTTGACAACAATGTTTGTATTGCACCGCTCAAAAACCGCTCCTCGTGTGTTCATTCGCACTTGACAAGCCGCTCAAAGCAATAAAAACCCGTTCGGCATATGATCCAGGCGACCGTACGCGCGGCAGCAGCGCTGCCCGTTTTATTCCATAAAGACGCGACAGCTCGTGTGCCGAGTCGACGAAAACCGCTCCGTGTGTCTTCACCCTTAGGAACACCATGGTGTATATTCATTTTACAAAAAAAGTAAGGCAGTAGTAATGTGGAAACCGCAACACTATCTATGTCCAAAGATAACTGAGATATCGCGCAAAAGCATCGGCCACTCTGTACATTGGCGAATCCTGCTCACCTTCAGTAACAGACCAGCTATTCCAGAGAGGCCCAGCGAACACCATGGGCACAGAGCAGCAAAGATCGATACGACTAGCTGCACCGGTTATAGCTCGATTTGGAAGCGCCCGCGTTTGCTTGCAGCTGCTGCAAGGAGCTGATGAATTGCTTCTGGAACTCGTCCTGGTAGCCGCCAGGGAACTCCTCGCCCTTGGAGTTGTGCGACTCCACGGCCTGAATAATAATAACAAAAAGATACAATAATTGTGTTTTTTTCTTCAGTTGATGGTAGGTAGATTTAAGAGCTAGTGCTGAAAAAATAATATTTTCTAGGAGCATGCGAAAATAGTATATGTTTGCACACTATACTTCTTCTACAACTGGACTTATCCAAAGAATCCAAGTAATGTAACTTATTGGTATTCATTTTATAATGTGGCACTATGCAACGTTGAATATTTTGACCAAAGAGTAGACGCCTTTCCTAGTTTATTGTTTATTGAAAAACTAGCTTCCAGTCAGAAATACAATTCTGGTATCAGGAAATTGATTACAAACAACAATAATAAAACAATATAAGGTGACAACAACAATAAAAATCTAAAAAATCTAAAAATGCTAAATCGATCAAGTCATAAGAATAGTCACAGGGACTAATTAGTAGATGGCAAAGTATCAATTTTATCCATTTTGAAATGAAATCATGTGTTTTTTAATTCAATTTTAAATTTTGAAATATGTCTGCAATTTTTTATATTATGTGGTAATTTATCAAATTCAGCTAGAGCAGCGTGAGTAAATTTTTTTTGGCCAATTATAGAAGTAGCAGAATCAAGATGAAATAAGTTTAATTGTCTCATGTGATGACCAAGAATTTCTGAGTTTCTTACCAAAACAAAATTGGATTTCAGATTATTGTTTATTATATTATATGAAACTTTAAGAGAATCTATTTTATATAATTCATCCAATAAAAATTTTTCTGTTATCGCACACAGATCATTTGTTGGGATATCAAATGAAAGGCGATACAATACTTTCAGTGCTTTCTTATAAAGTGCAGATATTTTACTGAAATAATTTTTTGAACAAGATCCCCAAACGTTTATCATATAGGTAATACGACTGAGTATATGAGAATGAAGTACTATGTTTATGACTTTTTTGTCAAGTTTAGGACATCTTCGCCAAAACTCCAATGATCGGAGATATTTTTTGTATCCGAATCTATATTATGCTTGTCCCATTTCAATTTTTTCTCAAAGTATTTCAAAAAAGTACACTTTCCGAAATAGAATTTATTATTACAGCATGCAACAAACACAAACTGCACTTTCAATTTCAATATTTACCATCGTTTATGTTTTAGTTATTGTTATTTAAATGTTCTTCAGATAAATACTGTCTGTAGGTTAATCGAGGAGGTGGTATGAAAACTGAAAAGCTTCAAGACATATTATACGACTTCGCAATTGAAAAAATCTCTTCATGTTGAAAACGGGAGCAGAATCGGTCCCGAAACGTCCAAAGATAAGTGAAAATCTGATATTTTTTCTATATACCTTTATTTCTCTTCTCCAAAAATTTTTTCAATACAAATTGTCACTGACAAGCTAGTGAATTTTTCTTTTAGGCTCTCTGATAGGAAAATTCTTTAAACGCAGTGACATTTTGGGGCAAATCATCTGATTTGTCCTTACTACACGTATATTGAAATAATATTCATATTTTTATTTTATAGAAACGAGGAGAGAAAATCCCAAAAAATTTGGAATAATGAATTCTTCAGATAAGTTTCCTATTATATCGATAAAAAACAGTTATTTATTATACAAGAGAAAAAAGTAGTAGATTTTAGCTCCAGGAGATCGACAATGATTGAACGAATATCTGATGAAAAGCTCTGGAATCACAAGAGGACATCAGTCAAAAATCAAGTTTTCTTTGCAAGAATCACTCTCAAAGAATCCAAATAATACCCACAAGCAATTGAACCATTTCGAAACAATGTACTTCCATATAGTTCTACAACCGGCCACTTTGGCGCTATGATCTTCACCTTCAAATCAATCATCTATTACCTGATTGCCCCCGGATCCGGACTTGACGAAACTCTTGTTGTACGCGATCACGGACACGGGCGAGCTCGACGAATTATCATTCTTGATCGGCGAGCAAGACAGCTTCTGCAGCGCCTTCAAGTTCTCCATCACCATCTGGATATCATCCCCCTCGCTCTTGGATATCTTCGCCGCGGGGACATTTTTCGTGGAGACATTCGGCGCGGGGACATTTTTCGTGGGGATGATTGGCGTGGAGGTGGTGGGTTGGTAGGCGGGGAGAAAAAGATCGGGGGTAGCGGGGCGGAATTTCTTCGACCTCTCGGAGAGATCGATGCCGGCGGTCGAGGAGTCCTGGTGGACGGTCTTCATGATGACGGTGGAGTCCTCGAAGATCGTCGGAATGTCTGACAGTCTGGAATTGAGGGGAAGTAAATATTCAATGAATCAATTATACCGGAAAATACATGATGATTTGTAGCGTTAGTTCTAAGTAGAGTTCCTGAATGTACATAACACTGCTGATTTTGACGTTTTTTGTATGTTCTCTAAGGTAGGACCATGCGATCGCAGCATAATCACTGACGAGCGTCTCCGGACACAACCATCTTGGCACATTCAAGGTCAAATATGATTTGTCATATGTCAATTATATCAAGTGGTGCAAAATATTTTGATTTTTTTGAATAGATGATTCGACTAGCGCGTAGAAGTCGTGGAAGTCATATTTTTCAATTGAGTTTATATTTTATAATAATGTGTGATGCATCAATGTCCCTATCTGAAGAACAACATCGATATATTCTGAATAATTGCGATAAAATCATAGACACAATGACTGAAGGAAAGACTATTAATTTTGAAACAAAGCAAATCATTATTACTAACAGAAGACAGAAAAGCAAGTGCGTTTATTTTCTACTAAGAAGAAAAGAGCCAAATATGCTTTAATTTACAAAAAAACAAGTATTCCTGGGAAAAAATATATAATCGGTAGTCTTTTAAATAAAACTGATTTTTAGGATTTCTTCATAACCTATTCTTAACAGATATTGTTCTAGACATCGATAGTATATTGATGTATTAAACATTTATATTCCTGAAACTTATTACATTTTTCATTTGTACTATAATAAATAGTTCTATGTCTAAACAATTTCCTTTGTAAATAAATCTACTTTTCCTTATTGTTACCTTTATTGAAGAGCTTTTATTATCTCCTACCAAAATATTGACGAAATAAGTATAACCGGTATTACGAAGTTCATTTCAAAAATTGGCGCCAATATTTAGCTTCAAGTAGTACAATATTTGACCTTGGATGTGCCAAGATGGTTGTGTCGGTAATCACTAGCATAAACTGTATGACGCCGCCATCTATAGTTAAACGTACAGACCCATACGTCTATAACGCTGGCAAAGTGTTACTTACAAGTAATTTACTCTGTTGACAGATGGCACTACCTGACTATTAGAGTGGACTAGATCTTCATGTATTATCTGGCATCTCCGAAATGGGTGATTTTATACCCGAGGTTGTCAAACGACCGAGAGCGGCTGATGAGGCCTGGTGGGCAGAAACAGTACTCTCTCGCTATCGCTGACAATGGGCGAATGGACTGATAATGAATTATCAAATTATTGAATTAGTTTCTGCAACACTTCTCACGATTTTTTATGTAAATAATGCGTCTATGTGTTTTTCAAAGTTCTTGAATTACAGCTCATTTCAAACGTACTATCATGGCCGCTATTTGGCGATACGTCGAATAAATGGTGACGTCAGTGTTTTAATGCTTTTTTGTTATTGGTCCGATGATCTTCCATTCCCACTAGTTATCAAAAAGATACTAGTCCTGTCGTTGGATAAAACACTAGATAACACATAATAAGAGGCAATGATATTTTAGTTCATTCTTGACTTTTTTGAGCAACCATCAGCATGTGCACATCTTTCTTATACTCCATAACAAAATATCATGTAAATGTTGAAGTCTTGGCAACAATGTGCTGAATGCTGGGAACTGACAAGACACAGCCCACAATTCGTGCGCCGTGTTGTCATGTTCACCGGTTCAAATGTCCACTAGTGGGAATTAATATAATAATTATTATCTACACAAATGTATTATGAGCAATGATCCACAACACATGTAGGAACATTTTGAGACAATTGTTTTTCATTGATAATTAGGAATAATACCAACACAGAATTGAGAATTTACGAATTATTGAATAACTAATATTTCTGAAATTCCCAATCGTATTTCAACATATGGCAACTGTGCTATGGTTTGCCCCTACTTACGAAATCGTGACGTCAGTTTTTACTCGCGGCAAATTTCTAGACATGATTGATGATTTCAGCACCTTAAAATAGACCGAAAAATTCTAAAATATGAAATTGAAAGGTATTTGAGTGATGATTCTAATTAAAAAATAATAATCCACTCCCCTCCTAGATCTCTTAGTTATGAGATCTAGTTCAATGAATGAATCATAGTTATTTATTGTACAGGGTGCCACAACAAGAGCGCAGGATTAAATTTTCAAGAAAAATACATTTTAACGTGAAGAATAATAGTTAGAATATTAGGAAACGCATTTTGTGTAAATGACAAGTTTCTTAAGTTATGTGAAAATCGAGTTTGAAATCGATTATTGTCAATTTAACACGAGAATCATCCGTATTCATCGAATTGAAACTAAACCAATACCAACCTGTGTGCATGTTTCAAACTTCCATCACTCCTAGCCTCTTTATGCTTGGAAGACGACGAAGAAGAAGCAGCGCCATGCTCCCCGTGAGATTTCCCCTTATCTTTCGCCCTGTGATTCAAAAACGGATTCACCTTCGCATCGGCATAGGGCTTGAACATCTCGAACTGCGAAAAATCCTTCGATTTGTCTCGATGATGCTGTTTGGAATCTATGCTGGGAGTCCTTTCGGGGAGCGAAAGGTATTTGTCAGGATAAGAGGCTGTCCTCTCCGCTTTATCCGATTTAGCAGCCGATTTATCCGCGTAAGAGGCTGTCCTCTCCACTTTATCGAATTTACTAGCCGATTTATCTGAGTGAGAGGCTATCATGTCAGCTTTCTCCGATTTACCAGCCACCTTATCCGCGTAAGATGCTATCTTGTCCGATCTCTCCGATTTACCTGGGTAAGTGACTTTATCGGATTTAACAGCCGATTTATCCGAATAAGAAGCAATCTTGTCCGATTTACCTGGGTAAGAGGCTTTATCGGATTTACCAGCCGATTTCTCCAAATAAGAGGCAATTTTGTCCGATTTACCTGGGTAAGAGGCTTTATCGGATTTACCGGCCGTTATATCCGGGAACGGGGCTACCATGTCCGTTTTGCCTGCCAATTTATCAGGGTGAGAGGCTATCCTGTCCGCTTTTTCCGATTTACTCGCCGATTTATCTGAGTAAGAGGCGATTCTGTCTCCTTTATCGGGTTTAACAGCCGATTTCTCCGGGTAGGAGGCAGTGAAGTTTTCTCCGAATAAATTTGCCATCGCTTCTTCAACGTATGGTTTGTATATTTCAGTGGGTTTGCTGTGTCTTTCGCTGTCCGCTGAAGTATTTTTGGCTTTATCGATGGGGTTATCGGCGTACGGTTTGAACATTTTCGAAGACATAGAGAGGTCGGAAGGTAGGTCATCGTTTCCAGCTGATTTTCCTGTGGAATGTTTCGGTTGTTTGGAGAAATCGTTCAAAGATTCCGCATGAGCTTTGACAGTGTTCTCCCCATGAATTTTCGATTGTTTGGAAGAGTCTGTGATTGATTCTGATTTTATCGGCTCCATCGAATGCGTAGAGATTTTTTCGGGTAATTTAGAATTTTTTTCCGTGTAGGTCTTGAACATATCGACAGGTTTGTCTCTCGGGGGTGATTTAGTCGTCTCCGATTGGGGCTTGGAGCTATGAACGGTTGAATCGGCGGAGGTGTTTTGGAGGTGAGGTTTGACTTCGTTTATCATCGTCGGAGCGATTGTTGTATTTTTGGAGGTGTTGGAATGTGTAGTGGTGTTTATGCTACTGTTGGCGGATCTGTTATTGTCTGATGCCATGCTGTTGTAGACTTTTTTCAGGTTGTTTAGGTACATCCAGCCTTCCGGCCAGAGAGGTAGGATGACCGTTTTCAAGTAGTTTACGACTTGCTCTTCGAGCTTGTCTTTTTGTTTTCCTTCTCTGATTAGACAGCGTTTCTTGAAACTCAGGATATCTTTTATCAATTTCCTGAAAATTCATTATTTCTTGTTAAATACCTACATTCATGAATTTTCAAGATAATGAAAAAGAAAATTCGATGAATTGTCAAAATCAACAGTAGTCCTATTTCTGCAAAAAAAGCGAAACAGAACACTCGACGCTTTAGAAATTGTGGCAAGTTTCAATATATTCTAAGAATATTTTCGATACCGATCTTATTGTTGAACAAGTTCTCCCGATATAAATACTAATATCGGCGGCGCAAGTCAGTCAGCCGAAAATAGCAAGGGTTCAGATTTAGTAGATAATATTGATAAAAAAATGCTTTGACCCATTCTGCAAAAAATAGTATTACGAAATCAAGTTCAGTGGAGTACAGGTAGAGGAATGATTGTAGCCTGTTCTGAGAACTTTCAGGAACGTTACCGACATCATTCCGAGTTCTCTTCTTTGAATGAATTCTCCAGATATGAATACTAATTTCAGCGGCAAATGTGTATAGAACCTGTAGAGTGTATACTGTAGACCATAGAAATAATTCTATCGGGGACTTCATTTAAATTATAGAAATTATGACGATTTCACCGATGGTCAAATTTAATTCAACAAATTGCCACCATCAGCTGATTTACAAAGATTTGATCATTTGAAAAAATACCAGGAAATATGGAATAGACTAGAAAATGAAGGAAAAATTAAAATTACAGGAAATAGATATAATAAGTACTGACCTGGATTCGTCAGTCCATGGGAACTTCCTTCTAGGCATTTTCAATGCTTTCAGCTCCTCACTTTCAGCACCTTCCCTGGAAAACCTGCAAAAATAGAACCGCACAATGAAATCATCAAAAAGCCAACAATAAACCCTACTTCTTGGCCAAAATAATTTGACATTCCTGTTCGAATTTGGCCGTCAAAGAAGGCATCACATACTGGATGGTGTCTTTCAGCTCAACTTCCAGCTTTTTGAGTCGTTTTTCCTCTTGGTCCAGGATCAAACTTCGCGCTCGCTTCATAAGCGTGTCTTTTTTGCATACAACCACGAAGGACGAGAGGTATTCGTAGACTCGGAGTCTGGAGGATTTTCCGAGAACTCTACATTTTCTCTCCAAACTGAAAAATATATACATACAGGGTGGAGTATTATTGCGTCGGAGCTCGATTGCTCGAGTTCTATGATAGCTAGGAACTTGATTTCAAAACGAATGTGAATGAGACAACGAGGTCCATAGCTCGCAATTATTGCCGCATATACAGGGGGTACCGGAAAAAATCCAAACGACTATTTTTCGCGATGTGACGTCACTTGTATTTTCTTGAGGCTCCCTCTGACGACCCAAAGAGGATACGTTGCACAAAACCACAAACACAGAACTCGAGCACAGAGTGGTTGGGTGATCTGTGACTTGAGAGAAAAATGTCTACAAAACAAACTATAGACGAAGAAAAAGATTAACCTCGAAATCTAGTTCATAGTTCATCATTTCATTTCATTTTCAGTGATCTATTAGTGTCATATTAGTGATATTCTTGCAATCTGAATTAACTGAAATATTTCACTTGGACTCAAATGACGGTCATGGCATGTCAACTGATTCAGTTCAAGTAAATTGTGTCAGTACGTTCAGAACGAAAGAATATCACTATCAATGGCGGCTAAAGATCTAGACTGTTCGACACTCTAGATATGTAGCCGTCATTGTCACTATTATAGTTTTTATTGAGTGACAAATGCAATGACAAATGGTGACAAGACCAAGTGTATAACGCGGTTTTTCTGGATCATTTGCAATCGTAAGAAAATTGAAAGAATGCTGAATTCACCCAGTATGTGTTCTAAATCGTGAAAAAAAAATTCAAAAAATCATGGTGAAATTCCCTATTATGTGGATAAATTATTTCTCCTGACATCTTACTTGAGCAATAATGCGTTGACCTCGTCTGTGAAGAAAGCCTTTTTGCCTTCTCCTTTATAGTTGACGCCCTCCATTTTGATCTTATCTACTATTTCTGTTATGTCACTAGGCAAATTCTCTGGCAATTTGGTTACCTCCGGTCTCTGCACTTTGCTAACATCTTGACTAGATTCTACGTTCGTTAAGACTATCTGGGGGTTTTCCGTTACTGAAACAAGAAAACTTGAATATTTTTCTTCAAACTTTTCAGTACTTGATAACTACTACTTAATAATATTAATTTTGGAGGATCGATGATGATCACAAGGTTTGAAAAATAATCAGAATTTTCATTAATTTGTGGTTTTTATAGGGTTTCTGGTATAATTTTTTTGATATTCAACCAGTTGAAAATGTTTGAATCATTTTTTGAATTTCCAGAACCCATCTGACTTTTCAGATAATTTTCATTGATTTTATGGATTTAAATTATTTTTGAATATTTTCAACCACCAAATTGAGTTTCAAAAATTTGCGAAAATTTTTGATTACCAACAATTCATCTGTATTTTGTTATTTCATATGAAAAACCAAATCCTTTTGGATTCTCTTCAAATAATTGTCGTGAGCATATTTCCGTTTCTTCTAGATTTTTAGGTTTCTACATTTTTTCAACATTTTCTAAGCAGACAAACTTTTAGAGTGTTTTTTTCTTTAAAAAACTTGTAGTGGGTCTATTTTTCTTTGTTCTGTGTTTCAGGGAGTAATATTATTGTGAAATTCTGAAATCAACTTTTTTATTTGGCCTCGATTTTGGCATATTTCAATAGAACTATTTTCCTTTGTGATGGATCTAGGACTTCTTCGTTCATTGGAGGTGTCTTGAAAGAAATATTGCGATTATTTGCTAACAAATCTGACATTTCTTTGGTGACAATCCTAAATTTTGGAACGAGACTATTCATTTATAAATAAAAAATATCTCACCACTTTTGTTTATACTCAAATCAGTCGTATTTACATCTACGTTCTGTCTATTTTGGTTTTTATCATAATTCACTTCTTCAACTACATGTTTTACTACTGACTCTATGGCATCTGTGACACTGGTAATACTCATGGGTTTTTTATTCTCCTTAAGAGAATCCTTTTCCACGTGTTCTGAAAAAAAAAAAAGTTGAATTTTGAAGGCTATGGTTAAATAATCAAATACAACAATATACTCAAAATATTAAAATTATATATAGGAAAGTCCAAATAAGTGAAAAGAAATTGAAGATTAGCTGACTGTGCAGTATCTTTGCAACAAGGAATACATCGGGCAAACACGTAGATGCGTAGGCACAAGATTCAAAGAACATATTGATCACTTCAGATAACTTATTTGACAAAATAAGTATTTAGGATTTTCCTAATATCATTATTGATGGATTTTGGGTATATATATTCGTGTAAATGGCAGTCAATTTCAATTATAATTGAAAAAGAACCAGAACCTTCAATTTCTTTGAGCTCTCCTGGAATGGACATATCGAGATCTTCCCGTTTTTCCCTCAAGAGATCCTTGACGGTTTTTTTCAGAGGGTCTATGAGGTTTTTCTTTTTGACTTGGATTTTCTCGGAGCTGAACAGCTTCTTTTTGATGGCCTGGTGCATGGTCGTTTTCACCGTTTGCAATTTCGGTTTCTACAAAAAAAAAAAGAAAATATGAAGGCGATTTTTAAGATATTCAGATTCGTTTTACCTTCTCTACTTGGGAAGTGCTGGCAGTTTCACTATCGCTGCTGGAAGAATCCAATACTCGCTAAAGGAAAACAAGAGACTTTTAAACATGAAACTAGTTCAACTTTCCTGTTGTTCGAGACATTTTAAAATAATTCAGAACATTGGATGGGAGGTACTCCTTAACATATTGAGACATTTTCTTCAACAAACAACTTCAGATACTCGTATGAAATGTTCTGTTTATCTTTATATTTTTCAAAGCAACATTTCCAGAAACCAATGATGGTCATAATTGATATTTCAATTGTCAAACCACTAATTTTATTTTTTGAGCAATGAGCCGCCATAATTTTTCTAAATGATCCATTATAATACTACATTAGAGCAGAACCCTGTGGATGAAACAAGGATATTTTATATTTAAAAGGTTTTTCAGTATAATTCTGCCATTGATTCTGGCAATTGATTAGTTGGAATTCAGAGCTAGTCAGTTGGCAAGAGTTATAATATTGTATGTTGACTGATCAAAAATTGTTCTGTCTGTCAATGTCGCTCATTTACTGAAAATATTGAGAGATCATTTGTTTCAATAGAATATTTGTCAAAATGATCTATTTTATGTCCAGGTTCCCAAAACGTCACCTCAGACAAATCACAATAGGCGAGTGGACAAACTTTTGTTATTTCTTAAATTGAATCATCACTCAAATACCTTTTAATTAATTATTTTTCAAGAATTTTTCAGTCGATTGTTAGGTGCTACAATCATTAATAACGCCACGTTAATTTTCAAAGGGCTAGAAATTTACCGCCAATAGTAGGGGCAGAACAGAGCACAGTTGCCATGAGTTGAAATACAACTGGCAACTTAAGGAATATTAGTAATTAAATAATTCATAAATTCTCAATTACGTATTAGTAACATTCATAATAATTAGCAATAAAAACTCAATTGTCTCAAAATATTTCATGTGTTGTGGATTATTGCTTGTAATACATTATTTGTGTGAATAATAATTATATTAATTTTCACTAGAAGATATTCGAACTGGTGAACGTGACAACACGGCGCACGAATTGTGAGCGGTGTCTTGTCAGTTCCCAGTTGTCAGCACAATGTTGCCAAGTCTCCAACATTCAAATGATATTTTGTAATGGAGTATGAGAAATATCTGGTCATGCTGGTTGCTTCTGCTATTATGTTTTATTGAACGACATGCCTCTTACATCTTCTTGATGGTTATGATTGATAACTTGACAACCTTGCTTCATGAGTGGGAATGGAAGATTATCTGACTAATAACGAAACATCATGAAAACTGACGTCACCATTTATTCGACATATCGCCAATTAGCGGCCATAACGGTACGTTTGAAATGAGCTCTGCAATTCAATGATTTTGAACAACGCATTATTCACACAAAAAAGCGTGAGAAGTGTTGCAAAAATTGATTTATGCACTAGCGGGCGGTAAAGTGCACTTTATCGCTCAGATTTGCGGGCGTAAAGTGGTACTTTACCGCCCGCGGGTTCATTATCGCCCACGGGGCATGAAGTACACTTTACCGCCCGCTGATCTCGAGTCCCACACATCCTTTTGTAGAAAACCGATACCATCTATGCTATAACTTCCTTCTTTGAATAGTTGCTTTCTGGCTGTCTGAAGTTTTTAGCCAAAAGATGACAATTTCAGCTTGTTTTTTGGATGCATTGCTAGACAGCAACCATCAGATTGATTGACAACGTCAAATTTAGGTAGCTAGAATGAATCTCTGTTAGTGAACAAATTTTTAATCTTACGATAATTGCAATATTCATACGGTAATTTTAATATGTATATTATACACATAAACATTGCACTTCCCTTGAACACTGAATTTGAGTAACATGTGAATTGTAGTTTGTTGAAATTTAGTCATTACTTGTGACTCGGGAAATAAACCACTAGTGCATAAAATGTTGTATGTATCACGTGCATAAAATACGTTTATAGCCTTCGGCGTGAAATGGCCGTCGGCTAACGCCATCGGGACATCATTCACGCCGCAGGCGATAAACGCCTACTTCACGACTTTGATACATAAATAGCTATTATGTCCCCAATGACACTGAATAAGTCCACTCGCCCATTGAAAGTAGATATCTATTAGAAGTTCAAATATGCCACCATGTGGAAAAAAAAACAAATATGCCATTATTTTTCTTTGTACAAATAATAATCGTCTTCTCACCTTTTTGCTCTTCTTGGATCGTCCTTCCTCCCCGCTACCACCCCTCGCACCCTCCTCGGTGCCCTCCCCTTCTTGCTCTTCCTGATCGGAAGAATCGCTCGACGAACTGGAAGAAGCATCGTCAGAACTGGCATCGTCGTCAGTCTTGAAACAAAGGGGTTTATCCATTTTTGTTCCCCAAGAAAAGAAAATCCGTTTTTTCTTCTTCTAGGAAGAAGACTAATTTTTCTCCTCTTAATTTGGAATGCCATGAACGATTTTCAAAGAAAAAATTCGATAATATAGTACTCAACAAGCTCCCTTCAAAAATGTGGAGGTGAGATTTTAAGTGAGAATATTTCTCAATTTTCTAATCTATAATCTATCCAACTGTGAAATGTCAAGATTATTTGATATTCATTGATGCAGTGAACGTCACCAATTTAGGTTTTACCCCCATGATTACTAATCAAGGATGTTATAGCACATTATAGATTCAATAAGCAGCCACAAAATTCAGTCTAATAACCGCAATAAACTCAGCAGAACCATTTCGACGTTTCAGATTTGTAATAGTGCTATAATTTGTTACTAATTCAGCACTCATTTATTTCCATACTCGCAAATTCATTACCCCCCATTCAACAGAAAAAAACCAACGGCTCTGCTAGCTTTATGTCAACCTAGCAGAACCATAGCTAAAAATTTTTGTTTGTAAAAGCTATTCTGTATTTGAAAGCAAAAACCTACTTTTATTTTCGCCTTTTATCCACAACTTGACAAAATACAGAAATTAATTAACATTTTGTCAGAATATTATTTTTGACAATCTTTCAAAATCATGAAAAGTTGACTCATACAGGGTATCTTCAACTGCGTCTTCTACATTGTTTTCGAAAACTTCAAATATACCATAATTTATCATATTTAATTACTAACTTAATTATGACTCTAATCACGATTTTTTACTCATTTTACTCAATCTTGATCTCAACCAAGCAGAACCGAAGCTCAAATCACATGTTATTTGACATTCTATTGAGTCATCAATAGCTCACTAATTCATTGTCACATTCGCGAATTTATAAACTTTCATTCAACAAAAAAACCAACGGCTCTGCTAGCTTTATGTCAATCTAGCAGAACCATAGCTGAAAAAATCATTTTTGGAAAACTTGAAATATTCCATAGTTTATTACCATTTTATTGTTCAATTTCAACTATTTTTTCGATCGAGATTGACGAATCGGCGTTTTTTTTATCGAATGATGAGTAAGAAAGTCGTGAGTATAGTTAAAAGTTGGTATTAAAATAGTAATAGATTATAGTATATTTCGAGTTTTCCAAAAAAACCAAATATTTAGCTATGGTTCTGCTAAGTTGACATAAAGGTAGCAGAGCCGTTGTTTTTCAGTTAAATGAAGTACTAAATTAGTTACAAATTACAGCACTATTGCAAATCTGAAATGCTCAAGTGGTTCTGTTAGTTAATTGGGGTTAATATTTAAATACTGAATCACATTGATGCAGTTATATTGGAATGTAAATGATCTTTGATATTTATTTAATGGCTTCAATGCGAGCGAAACCGCGGGTGTAAGCTAGTAAATAATAAATAAATAAATAAATAAATGCATAAATAAATGAATGTATAAACAAATAAATAAATTGATAATAGATGAATAAAAGAATGCATGAAGGAATAAATAAATGAATAAATAAATAAATAAATAAATAAATAAATAAATAAATGAATAAATAATAAATAAATAAATAAATAAATAAATAAATAAATAAATAAATAAATAAATAAATAAATAAATAAATACATAAATAAATAAATGAATAAATAACTAAATAAAAATGAAAGATTGTGTTCAATACCTTGAATTCCAGGGCCCCGCAGTTAATGTAGAACCCCCCGTGCAGGGTGGTGACATTTTGGGGGATGATTTCATCGTAGCCGTCGGTGTTGTCGATGAACGAATCGGACTCGTCGTAGCCCATGCCGATGTCAGCGTAGTCGTCTTTGCGACCTTTGGCGCGCCTGCGCCGGTTGTTGTTGTTGTTGTTGACGTTGGCGGCGCCACCAGTCATTCCGGTGCCCTGCGTTCGAAATTATTCTAAATTTTTTCAAACAATTTTTTTCAATAATTGTGAACGGTTAAGTTAGCACTATTAATAAATAATAGAAAGATGTTGAATAAAAAATGTAAAATCCCAGTAAACACACTTGTAATATTTACATACATATCCCCCAAATTAACGACAGTGTGCTGTAAATTGTAGATACAAAACTAAGATAATTTTATTACCCTTGAATTTACAAGGATGTTCCATATAACAGTGAAATCTCTTTTACTCAACATTCTTACATAATAATTATAAAACATCTTCGTAACTATGATTATGTTCATACAATATCAAGGAATTATGGCATTTTTATATAAATTCACTAACCACAAATTTATCTTCAACAAACAGAGGTAACAACCAGTTTATATAAATTAAAAACTTATTATTATTATAATTTTTTGTACGTTTGAATATTAATTTGTTTTCTTCTTTTCATGATTTTTCTTTAAATTTAGATAGATTTCTTCAAATCAGCTACAGTAATTTATGCATCTGCTTTGTATGTAATTTTAATTCATATGGTTAAGTGCAAAAGCGCGATTCCTTTCTTATGGGAAACCATCCAGAGGGAGAGCGATCTTTGCATTTTGCTCTGTAGGTCATAGATGGTGAAAATATTATTTTGTTATTCACATTGTAACATTCCTCAGGACCGCATCAATAAAAGCGATAGAATTATTATTATTATCTCCCTATTCTCATGTTCAGAGTTATTCCAATACAACTTCTAAATAATGTGTGGCCTACGAAAACTGATGGGCAAATCTCGGGGCAAACTAGCCCGATTCTGGAACAGTTCACCTCATAATGTAGAAAAATTCATTTGAAAAAAGCTTATGAATGTGCTATATTCCAAGGAATTCCAAGGAAATTCAAGGGATTCCAAGGAATTCCGAGGAAATCCAAGGAAATCCAAGGACTTCCAAGGAAATCCAAGAAATTCCAAAGGATTCCAAGAAAATCCAACGAATTCCAAGAAATTCCAAGGAATTCCCGTTATTTGTAGCCCAGGAATATACCGCATTTCACCCAAAGAATTCCAGGGAATTCCAAAGAAATCCAAGGAATTTCAAGAAATTCCAAGGATATACAAGGAATTTCAAGGAATTCCAAGGAAATCCAGAAAATTCCAATGAATTCCAGGGAATTATAAGGAATTCCAGTTGTTTGTATACCAGAATTCCAGAATTCCACCACGGTTTACCCCTTGTAAAACAATGAACTATTTTTCTGAGACGGGAAAAAAGTTTGACACTTCATCTGTGTTGGCAGGTTATAGAATGTCGCTTTTCGTAAATTACTTTTTCCTTGGATATATATACACTGTTGATGGCTTTTGTTGAGCTAGTTCCGAGAAATAAGCCAATAACACCGTCTCCGAGAAAGGACTGCAAGACCTTTTGAGTAAATTACCAAACAACCAAAAACAACCATTGAGTTTTTGAATTCAAACCACAGAATTAGACTGACAGATATTTGATTAATTCAAAATAATGATGAAGATACCTGCAATTCAGGTGTAACTCCTGTTTAAAACTTCAAATTTCAAGTCGATAATTTTCTGATTTTTATATAAATGTAACATCTTCCCAATATTGATACGTCTTTTTCCCTGTCACAGAAAAAAATATTGTACTATACACGGGTAAAATGGTAAAATATTAGACTTTAGCTCATGGTTTTTTGCCTCCCTCCCCTACGCGTCAGGAGGCAACACAACCTGGAGCTAAAATCTACAACTTTTTTCCCTTGTACAAGCAATAGCTATTGATAGAGAAAACTTCCAATGTAAACGTAATAGGGTTTGTTGTTTGTTCAGAAACACTAGATAATTCTAATGAATGAAAAACAAAATAATAATAATATCACAAAATCCACAAAGATAAGGAACATTGTAATTCAATTCCAATTTTTCCAGGTACTTACATATTTTGCTTCCATTTCGAGTGCAATTCTCTTGACATCGTCATCATTGTCAAATGGATCCAGCCCATTTTCGACACAATTTGAATCTTTCACTTGCTTAAATTTTTTCTAAAAAAAAAAAATAACCATCATCGAAGTCATTATTTCCCTTGTAATTTCCTGTAGCATATAGATGATTATTTCATTTCAAAGTCTCAATGACTTTTTACATATTGCCAAACGTTCAATATCAGTTCAAAGTTGATGAGAGAGCTATATAAAAGAAATCTTGAAAGAAATCTCAATGATTTGCATTATGGGAGGCATTATGTGAGATTTTTTTAATAATGATTAAATCTAGAGTTCCTTTGCTTCTATTTTGACGTTTTTTAATACACAAAATACATAGAGGAACTCTAGTTAAAACCAGGGTTGCGAAGATTTAAATCTTGTTTGAATCAAATGATTTTTTTCAATTTTAATTATGATTCAAGTCAAATAGTGAATTGCTGTTGAAGCAAGTCGCCGAAAACGAATGAATCTCGGAATGAATTTTCTTGTTCCCAGACAATTTTCATGTTATCACATCGCCTAGATATTCTAAGTGTGAATCTAGGTGTAATCTACATATAGCGTGTGTCATTTTAAACGCCCCCCCCCTCTAAATCACTTGCCATTCATACCAAATTTGGACTGGTATGGATTTATGGATAAACATCAATGGTCAGTTTTTCAGAGAGGAACATCATTAGACAGTGTCGTGCTCTTTTTTTAAATGGAAAGGGGCAAAATTTTCATGAATTCATATTGGGAATTTTTTCAAAGGAAAACTGACCTCATAAAACGATCTCTATGGTTCCAAACCCCCACATGTTAATTTTTATATGATTCCTATGAAGGGTTCCAAAAAAAAACAGGCACATCTGAACAGCATTTTTGGGAACATAATAATTATTTCGTTATTTACTTGGAATCATTCAGTTCAACATAAAATAGTATATCATGATTATCATGCTTATTCTTTCAAATCATATTTTTTTTTACCTACTGGCGCCATTGAACTCATTGAGGGTTCCAAAATTTCCAGGTAATTTGAATTCACTATCACTATCTCCATTTATCACTCGATTTATCATGAGGCTGAAAATGAAAAAAATGAAGAAAATCTTGTTAATTTGGAATGAAGTGATGTTTTTTGCATAATAGGTTTGAAACGAGGTTTGAAAGCATGAGGAACAATAATATGAAGTTAGTTTTATTCATATCAATCAACCCCTTTTTATTCCAATTTAAAAGCACGGCACTGGCCAAAAGGATGTTCGTCTCTGAAAAACTGATTATGGGTATGGATGGTAATTCAAACCGGTCAAAATTCGGTACGAATCGCAAGACTGTTAGCTGAGATATAGAGGAGGGGCGTTTAAAGTGAGATGCTGTACACAACATCAATATTCTTGGAAGAATAGAGAAAAATATTGAAAATACAGTGATATGGAAGTTCAAAAATCTGAATCGAAAGAATCACGGTTCAATCGAAAATCAGATTTTGTGATTTATCTTTTCTAATGTATATTAAAGTATATCCAATATCAATTGCAATATATTCCGCACTGTGCGACGTCGGCGTGTTTGAAGTTTCCTTTGAAGTGACTGCAGGTGCGGCACGAGATTCTGCAATTGTTTTTGGATAAACTATACCAACCTATGTTTTCTTGTGATTAATGTGTGACGATTTATTATTATTTTATTACTAACCTGACCCGGCAAACGTTGTTTTGCCATGAACATAATTTCTAGAAAATATTTTTTTAGTTTTAAATATTTATCAACACACTCTTATAATTCTATTCTCTACTTCTTTTCAGTTCGGCTATCAATAAAATAGAATTTCTCTAGATTTTCAAACTATTCTATTTATTTTCCCCTTCTTTTAGTTCGGAAATCATACTCTAAATTTTTTCAAACTACACTTTATTTTCTACTTATTTCTTTTTAGATTGGCTATCTATAAAAGTTCAGTCATTAGTTTTTCAAACTGCTATTTATTGCATAAGCTGACTCGGCAAACGTTGTTTTGTTATACATGTACATTTATTTTTAGAAAATATTTTTTAGTTGAATATTTATCAACATGCACATTTATATTATGTCGTTTTCTACTCGATTTTCTGCTTCTTTTTAGTTTGGCTATCCATAAAATCTTGTTTCTTTAGTTTTTCAAACTACTATTTCTTTTCCACATCTTTTTAGTTTGTGGTCTCGAGTTTGGCTATCTATATAAGCGTGTTTCCTTATAATTTTTCAAACTACTATTTATTACAAAGTTCGTTCGCCATATTGGATCAGTCATCTTGAATTTCCTAATTTTGAAGAAGACAATCATAATCTTTGACACAGAAAACCTACAGATACAAATTTTGAATTGAATCGGATCATTCACAAAACTCGTCCGCCATATTGGATCCGCCATCTTGAATTTCGAAATTTTGACGAAATAATGATAATCTACGAATTCAAAAACCCTCAGATACCAATTTTGAATAGAATTTGATCATAATTGAAAAACTCGTCCATCATATTGAATTACCTAATTTTGACGGAGGAATCATAATCTCCGACCCCGAAAAGCCCCAGAATATAATCGGACCTCGAATCGGACCATAATTACAAAACTTGTCCGCCATATTGGATCCGCCTTCTGGAAATCCCAAATTTTGACGAAAGAATGATATAATCTCCGACCACGAATACGCTCGGAAAACAATTTTGGTTGAAATCGGATTACAAAACCCGTCCGCCATATTTGATCCGCCATCTTGAATTTTCAATTTAAACGGATAACTTTCGGACATATGTTTATAGGAACTTTTCATCTTATTTTGACGTCAGCAACATGCTCCTGAATTTTCTACACGTACTTAATTAACCCTTTGCGTCCTACTGGTCATGCCAGATAACCACATAACAAATAATTCATCGGCGCTCTACTAGTGGTTTTGTAGCATAACCACTAATACACGATACTAATACAGCCACCTATGAACTGAATTGATAACTGCGGCATTGTTTCAACTTACTAATGATAGCGTTAGTAGCTTTTGGCATCTGATGAATATACTTAGTCCTAATGGTCACTTGCGGCAACCTCCTGGTTACTTGGGGCAACCACTTTTTTTGAAAAAAAAATGGACGATTCAGATTTTTTCTTTTATTCTTTTTTGTTTTTATAATGTTTCTGGTCACATAATATATTTTCAGAAAATAAAATCTCAAAAAACACTAATTCCGAACTCAAAGGGTTAAGAAACACCCTGTATATTAGATTTCTTCACTGGTTTTGGATGTATCTACCAGCTCCTAGCGCCGCCTCTGTCTCAACCGACACGCGGTTCGCCTTCACGCCTCGCAAACCTCTCTTCTCTTCCATCTCTACCAATTCTCGTTTCTGTTCTCCTGATACTCGCGCGCCCAAATCCTTTCACGACAGCGCGGAAAATAAACATTACAAACAAAAACCAAAACTCATGATTACGATAAAACCTGATGATTTCCCCAAAAATAATTTCCTAGATCCAGGCGGCACAATTTTACAATTTTAGGCCTTTTCACCTCAATAAAAACGCCGCGCTATTTACAACTCCTGCATCGCTCACAAGACGGGTCAATTTCGTCTATCTCCCGCCAATCATAGGAGTACGTTTTTGTAATTCAAAATGTGAATAAAAATTAAAACGAATCATCAGATGATTGTGCCACACATACAAAAACCTACAACAAGCTTCAAACATTATTATGCGACTCGGTAAAACACAATGATTAATTTATATCACCAAACTATCTATATATGACTAATCAAATGATATTTTTTTACAAAACAAATTGATGATTTTTACGAAAATTCTCTCACGGGAGACTTGCCGTTTCAAAAACAAAAAACCCTAGTCTGAACATTCAGTAAATCCAAATTTTAGTTCCTATGGAAATATTGGAAATCATAAAATTTATGTGAATGACCTTGACTTGCCCGTAATCAGAATAATGACACACCACCAACGGAAATACAATAATTATTTATAATAATCTTATTTCTTGACACCGAAGCATGAGGTATAATATGTTAGCGATTCATCTGATTATTTATCTGCACCAGCATCTCTTGATAGAAACCATTTTCTCCCCCGCATCTATTGGACTGGCGGGTTTGGCAACATTGCGGAAAAATGGTTTATTGTTAATTAGATATCCAACCCCAACGGTGACAAATAAAATCAGAAAGTTCAAAGTTGTCGACGTTAACAAAATTTTGATGGCAAAATTTCATGGTATGAGCAAAGTGACTATAATGTTGCTGTATATTGCATTGCTTGCGTCAGAGAATAGGAGGGATTGCAAATATTGCACTGCATACCGTAGGTTTGGAATAAAGGACACAAACGTGATCGATTTGGCAGAAAAGCCCTGGGAGTTGGTTTTCAAGCAGGGCTATGCTAAATCGTGCATCCTGGACATACAAATGCAGCCCAAAACGGGCACATACTTGACCGGAGTTTTCGGCTTGATTTTTTCACACAAAAATGTGTTTTTTACAAAAATCTAACTCAAACATGGCGACGTTGATGCTATATAGCCTTATAATTAAAGTGAATTTGTCGATAAATGCTGTGACAAAATCGCTGGGGCCCCACTGGAGGCTGTGACTCCCTCTTGAATTTTTGGCTTGACAACTGCTAGGAAACCATCTAATTTTCTATGGCATGCCTCGGGGTGCTTAATAATACTGTTCTCTTCGATCTGAAATACAATTCGTGACCATTTTCTCTCATGAGTTACCTTTACAGCAGCTAGTTGGTCCTTATAGTTGTATTCAGGGCAGTTGTCTTCATTAGATTCGGGTAAACTCACAGATATCCTTACTGTTTTGAACTGCTTTTTATTCACTTTATCACTCACTTTTTGCGGTTCAAGTGTAGTTAATGATACACGTTTTATTTCTGACATATTTCATCACAATTTCCATTAAAACAACACAACCCGGTTTCGCTCCAACATGTTTAAAATGCACTTCGCTCAAACAATCTCCTCAAATGAAATCTGAGACCACGCGCAGCTGTTTGCGCATTGCATGGCTCGAGATCGGTCTAGTAGAACGCTGTAAATTCCAATGTAATGGGTATATTTCTGTATTATACAGAGTCTTGCTTCACTATTAGTTTTATTCGTTACCATGAGATGCCGATACTAACAGTGCTATTTCAAGGTTGGTAGAACTTATATTTCACCATCCTCCAACTCAACCTCCAACTGACTTCAAACTTCAAGGTGCTTCAAGCAACAGTCTTCCCAAATGTGGCTATTGTGCTAGAACTGACATGAGCGCATAAACATAGATGGCGCTACCGCCTATTTCCTTGTATTTCCAAGAACGCTTTGAAACGGCCCTACTTTCAAATGTTTGGAATCTCGAATTTATGACTGAGATTGGAATTTTCGTGAAAAGATCTAGTAGGTTGAGCATTGTCTTCTTCAGCTTGCGTGAGCTTCGGTATACGGAACGGCGTTAGCGTTAGTCATAGTTTTTGTCTACCTTTACTTTTGGGATCGATTGGTATATATTCGGTTACAACCCCTCTGGTGTACCTTAGGTGTACCTACACAAAAATCTGTTTTTTCATTAAAATATCACATAAATTTCAAATTTTCGAAATGACGAATTTTTCAAAAATATACCCATTGTCATTGTTTTTTAATATTGTCATGTTGAATATCATCTGATTGATGAGGTGATTGTATAGGATAGAATGACGTACTTATACAGGGTGTTTCAAGAAAACCTGACCCCTTGTTAGGGAAGGTAAAACACTTCAAAATAAGTTGCATGTGTTTGCACAGTTAAAAAATGTCGTTATATACGACATCTACTTTCAAGACAGAATAAGGTGTTGAATATTTTTTTTCCTACACATTTCTCACGATTATGACGAAACTACTATGGCAATATTGTAAGGAAATTTTCTAACACATCGCATTAATTTGTTTTTATATCTAACTCTCATAGAGGGCGCTAGTTACACGGTTCGTACCGAGTAGATTTGAACATTAACGTTTTTGATATTAGATTTTTCAATTTGATGTGAACTTGAACATCATATTGAATTCAATACAAAAAAGTAACTTTGTAAAACTCAATACAATGTACCGTTTTCCCAATATTTTGATTTGAAAACAATGGGGTAATAGCTAGCATAAAATAAATTTTATTGTGTTCAATAATACCTATTTATTGAGATTCAAAAACAATGAGAAAATTTTGAATAGTAACATAAAATATTGAATCAGTTAGAATACGTGTTTAAAATGTCCTCCGTTTCCAAGAATACCCGCGATTTTTTTTTTCTCAAGAATGAATTAGTCTTTTAAACGGTTGAGGATCAGCTTTTAGGTCATTTGAGTAATGTTCTATTACGTCTTGCAACCTACCTCTGTAGCATAGACTTTTTGGTTTATACGTCCATGCTTGAGATACAACGAAACTGGTGTAATCCATGTTATCAGAATGAAATATTTCAATGCATAAATAACAAAACCATAACCTGTCAGAATGAAGCCAACTATCCTCTGCATTCCTGCTCCGAATGCATTTGTGGTTATGTATGTTTTTGATCACCATTTTTACTTCTTCTTCTATTATTTTCATTCATTTTTCATTCGTTAGCTATTCGCTAGCTTTATTCTTCACCATCAGCTATTTCATACTAAATTCAGAATGTAGAAATTGCTTTAATTTGAAAATGAAAACGACTTGGCCTTTATCGGTCGCCATTCTGTACAGCGTGGACATAAAACTGGAGAGTTCCGAACTTATTTTATGCAAATTCATCGGAAGAAAACTTCCCCATAGTCATTCAAAGTGTCGGCCTCGAAAATGAAATCGACCAGTGTTTTCGATTTTTTATATCTAGTTAGCTGTATATAGGTACCACTGGATTTTTTTCCCATATTCAGCAGACAATGTTTCATATTATTTACTAGAAGTAAGAATTAAGATATTGAGGGTGGAGTAAGTTTTCAAAATATCAGCCTGTATAAAAGCAATCCGTCACAGTCCTTTTCCTTATACATGGCCCAGACCCGAGCAAAATCTATCCGATTCATCAAGTGCTGACAAGAGCATCGGCTTCTAAAAGTCGAACCCTAATTTGAATTGATGTCCAATAACGGCCAAATAACCTCGCAATAATGTGCCAGGGACGAGGCCAGGGAGCTGAGAGGACATCACGTCTTTTCCGGAGACGTGTTCTTCATTATCTGGAAAATTTTATGGAAAATTCCGGAAAACTAGATACTGTCAAGACAGTTTTATGGTACATACAAACATACAGAAATACCAGTGCATGCTACCGCTAATGCACTTTTTGGAAATGTACCGCACTTATGACAAAAATATTTCTCATAACATAATCCCTAAAAAGTACATCTTTCATCATGTGAATCTACCTATACAGGGTACTTCAGAGTGTTTAGGACAACATCCTGGGGGGGTTTTCTCTAGATATACAAAATATGGAAAAAAAAGTTCCTAAGAACATGGGTCAGAGAATGCTTCGTTTCCGAGAGTCCAAGTTTATTAAAAAAATATTAGTTTTTTTGCAATCGGCTCAAAAGTCGTCAATTCTTCTTCCAAAATCAGCTCTTGAAGTTGACGTTTTTCTTACTACCAATGGTTTTCGATTCAGCACTCGAAATTAACAGCTTGGTGAAAATCACAAAATAGGAGTTATTAGCTGGTCATAGTATCGGATACTTCCTTTGTGGTGTTTCTCTGAATTTACCACGATGATGTGTTGATTGTTTTAAACTTTTCGCATTTAGTTTCACCACGATGTCTGATATATGATTAGGTTGTTTCAACGTATTCATAGAGTATATTTTACTGCGACAAAAGTTCGTGGTAGGATATACAGCGATGCTTTTTCTACGAACTCCGAAAATTACATTAACATACCTGCTATTCCTGCTAACCTTCAAAATAATTCGAAAGGAATGGGAATTGAGAACATAATACATGCAACTGCATGCAACCAGCAAGACACGTAAAAGTGATATTGGTTGTAGATGTGTCCAGTCCATTGCTTACTAACCTTTGTTTCACCTTTATTGTTATGCTTAGCGCAGAATAAATGAATTGTTCTCAAAGATGGATGCTTCATTTTCACACTTCTTGGAGATATGCAATAATTAACAAAACATTCTCTTCGATTTCACTTTCGTCTGCATTTCGCATATATTTTTAATGAAGAATTCTGATACAAACGAAAATTGTTTGAATAATTCTGATACAAAATTCGAAAATGACAGTTGACAGTTGAAACAATTGACAGGCCAGACCATGTTTCAAATTACTAAAGCTGTGTTTAATGAACTGTGTTGCCATGGTAATGTGTTCAAGAAATCAGGCTCATTGGTAGTCAACTTGTTATGAATTGTATTTCCTGAAATATGACTAGAAATCACGTCCTGTTTTCAACCCTGAATAGCAAGACAGTCGTATAGCAGGAAATCTGCGATTCAACAAATCTGGACATTTAATCCTCGAGCCGAAGTCAAAGCAATCGACCAATAACCTCTGCCCGGAGCACACTTTTTTCCACAAACCGAATGGCCGCAACCCGACAAATCCAGCAAGGTAATCCGAGGACCCATAAAGGCTTGTCTTCGACCGTAGACAATTGCTGAATTGGTGCAAACACCATCACATTCGGGAGGAGCGCGCCTTTCCAGAGTTTCTAGATTACTTTCCAGACATAAACTCCCGCGCGGAACGAGCCAATCCTAATTTTCAATCTCTTTCCGGGTTTCAATTAAACGGCCGCGTATAATTGAAATCTCCTTTCCGAACACGGGGGACCATGTACGGTCGAAGTGATCAAATTTTCAGGATCGGATTGATTACATGGGAAGATATAGTGACGTTAGGGAACGCACTATAAAAAAAATAGCGAGATATTGAGTAAGGGCGGTTTATTGGTGAAGGACAATTTTTGGAGCCAGAGCAAGGTGAGGTGTCCTATCAGACTAAATAATTATTGGGGAGGGACAATGGGCGTGTACACCTTGGTAGAACTTTTAACTCAAACCATGTTTATAATGATCCTTTCATACATAAATAATGATTGACGACATAATTCGATCGAAAAATTGACTGGAATGTTCAATTTTTGGACATAAATAATAGTACCATCTGAAAACGGACCCTCTTATGACGTAGAAACCTCATCTCGCCATAGTTAAAAGAAAATACCAAACGCCGGACGGATTCTGAGGCAACTGATATATTAATTCTTTCAACTGTGATCTCGCGCTAATTCACTCTGCCAGAAATCATGTATCATTCATCTCTGTCTGGAATAGTCCTGTTTCAGTATTAGGGTTTTGACGTCACATCATCGCCTCGTTTTCAGAGGTCCGAAAAATCGGGGATTTCAATAATTTTTTATAAAACGTAGGGAGCTAACAGCGATAAACGGTTTGCGGTGGTGAGCTAGTTTGGGTGAGTTCTATCGAATTATGGAATAAATTTTTTTTGTGATATAAGCCCATTCTTGGGTTTTGGATTCAGTGAATAAATATGTTTTTATAGTATTATTCGATACTTTTCGCCTATGGCCATAGGCTTTTTGAATCTTATTAATCCTTAGTATATGAATTTACTGGTCTGGAAAAGAAATGAAGCAGATAGAATCCCGTGCTTAACTTTTGTACTGTTAGTATAGACAAAAATTCTCAGGTACGTACCTCAACCAGAGAGCTATTTCGTTGGTAACTCTTTCTGCTTTTATTTCTCCTTCTTGTTCATTATTACTCGTTTTCTTTCGTTTTCTTCTATATTGAAGGAAATGGAAAACGTGTTCAAAATGTTATTTCTCTTCGTAATTTGTACATTTTTTGGTTGGATGTGTGACATTAAATTTTTTGCATGTGACATCTGACATAGGACTATTATACAGTATGATGCAAACGTATGGAATAAATTCATTTCAAAACAAGACGACTTCCGAAATAAATCCA